TTTATATAATGGTAATTATATTTTATGTATGTTTCACGCTAATAAGAAAACTAATAAAAAAATTCAAAATAAATATATATATATATATGCAAATGAAATATATATGGTATTTGTTTAAAAACAAAACTGTATTTAATGATTTTAGGATATTTTTTTTCTAGAATCAGTAAATCAGAAGTCAAAAAACTTCTTGCTGAGCACACGTCAATAAAATTAAGGATTGTCCAAAACATGCCCTGGTGAAAACAGAGCTCATCTTAGATGTTCACTCGGGTGTCTGCTTGACAACAGCTGATGTCATTACTTAGTTACGTATACACATGAGCACCATGGACATAGTTCCTGTTATATCAATTTTTTCCCCAGTTCTGAGCCAACAAAAAGTCTAAGTTACCAATCAGGTTCTTCATTCTTCATATTCTTTTATGTCCATAAACCTTTCTGCCTACCTACTCATCATCTTTCTCCCACTGAAGGTTTTCATCCTGAAGACCTTCTAGTGCCAAATAATATTCTTTTAATCCTACAAGCATTAATAAAGAAATATTGCTTTCTTTTTTTTTTCAGTGGCCGCTCTACCCGGGCTTATAAGGTGGCAGGATTGACCCTTCTGGCCTGTGTGCTGATTGTGGGCCAGGCGATGACCGCCTATTTCCTCCTCAGCCAGAAGAATGACATCAAATCTCTGGAGGATCAGAACAACAAACTTGAGTCACAGGTGTCACGAGTCAACTCTGGTGAGAATGCTATGCTGGGAATTAGCAGGATGCAGCAAAAAAAGCTTTATTTAAAACAAACTGCTTAACCGCTAAACATTAAAAAAGATGAAAAAAAAGACAAAATGTCATGAAACTGCCCTGTTACCTGTAAAACAACTTAGACTGATAATGAATCAGTGCCTAGAATTTTATTGAAACCGAATTACAGCTCTCTGTTGTTGTACAATTTATTTTTAGTGCCACTCTCTTTTTTCTGTATTTTGCTTTTTGTTTTACCTCTGTCTCACATACACCTTTCTCTCCCTGTCCATAGCTCCTGCACCCATGAAGATGCATCTGCCCTCGAACTCCATGCTGATGTCGGACCTTGCGGACACGGTAAAAAAAAAAAAAAAGTCTGAAACTGGGCTTTTGATTTTCAAGTTAGTAAGTCTCAGTTCAAATCTAACCCTAAACCCTAATTTTGTCTATTTTTTTTAAAGTTAAATAAGTACAACTTTAGTGAATCCTGACACACTTCTAAAGTCCCGCATTTTTCTCATTTGTGGTTTTTAACTTATTGTGTTGCAGGACTCTTCAACTGGAACCCCAGATGATTCCTGTATGTCTTAAATATTTGTGTTCATATATTCTGTATATGTGTTAATTATCTTCTCATCTGTTTATGGCCTAGAGAATGCTTTTTTTTATCATTATTAACAAAAATGCTCTTTTTTCTGTCCTCATATGTGACCTCAAAGTTCAATAGTCAGAAAGATTAAACTGTTACAGTTTGTCTTTAACAAATTTATAAAATGTGGATCAACTCATCCCCTCTCCCCTGCTCTCACAGCCCCTCCTCCCACCAAGTGCCAGCTTGAGGCTTCTGGCGTGAAGCCTGTGCAGGTGCCAGGTTTCAAACCTGCCTGTGAAAAGGATGGCCTCTACAAGGCCCAGCAGTGCTTCGAGTCCGTTTGCTGGTGTGTGAACACAGCCACCGGGGAACAGATCAATGGAAGCCTGCGCCAAGGACGAGCCAATTGCAATCAGTCCGTCCGTGCTGGTGAGACAAGATAACAGATTTTGAGTATTAAGTTCAAATTAGAAAAAAAAATATATTATTGAAAATGCCATGTTCAGTTTCATATCAGCATTTTATTGTTGCATTTATGGTTTATTTCATGTAGTTATTTAAATCTACAACCCACACGTCAGAGATTTCAGTGAACTTTTTTGCTGACTATTTGTAGAGTTGTGCACGATTAATGAATTTGTGTATTAGGTTTTAGCATGATATTGAATATACTTTCAGAGAACTCAGGATTTTTGTTTTAAAAATATTGATCTTTCATAAGAGGATTGCAATGTAATTCCGATATGCATATACAAATCTTGATTCATCTGGAGAAATCTAAAACCTTTAAATGATTCAATTATTGATTACATTCAGGATCTGATTTAAGCTACAGTGTCACTTACAGTCCAACATCTGTCTTTCCAGGCACCATGATAAGAATGCTGAGTCTTCCCAGTGAGGACAATTAAAACTGTGGTGAGTAAACAATCATATTCTTCTGTCTTGCTTTATATGATCGCTATAAGCTACAGTTTCTACAATTAAAAAGTGCATTTCACTATCGTAGGGTATTTCCCTACAGTGTAATGTGCCTTAGTGCTATATAAATAAAATTAAATTGAACTAATAATTTTGGAAAAGTACAATTGTCTTGAATAGCGAATTTAAAACCATTAATCATTTATTAATCATGCTTTTTGTTGTTGTTGTTGTTTTAGGCAACAGAAGCCGCTTCAGTCTTTTCCAGAAACCAGTTTCGGCTCATCTCCTAGTATCGTGTTACAACTTTGCCGAATTAATCACCACAGCTGCACTTAATAAGCTAATGGGGTTTTATATATCGCTGATAAATTACCAGTAACCAATTACCTGCTTGCTATCGTTCCTATTTTATTGCAACCAATATTCTACTGACAGCAGAGCCTTTTGACCGTGATTGGAGATTTTTAATGGCTATTAAAGATGAATAATTATCAAATAGTGTTTAGTGTGCAGCCTTAAAATGCTTTATTTTAATGTTGATGATTGGACAAGAATGTGGTTTTTGTGTTGGGAGGCACACATAAATAAAGAGGAAAAAATAAGAGAAGCTAAGCCAAAGTACTTTAAAAAATACTTTTAAGAATGGATTTCTGACAAAATGTAAATGCAGTCCTCCCTGACATCAAAGGCTTGGTCTTTTAATTTTGTCATGTTTGGCTTAAGGTAAAATATAATAGTAATAATAATAATAAAGCTGTTATTACAAGTTCTGAAGGATCATTTGGACACAATCGGGATACATGAGTAGATTTATTTGAACAACCCAAATAAAACCTGTTAAAAACAGTTCTGATGGTTTTCTTTTATGATACCAGCACAGTGGGAATTATAAACAGTTCTGTTTTTGATGTGTAGGAGCATAAACACACAAAAACCAAAACTGCTAAAACAAAGCTCTGTCAAGTTGAATCAATATCCCACAAACATTATTACTTAAAAACATGCAAAGATAGGACAAAAAAAGAGACACTAAAACATACAATATGGAGACAGTAACACAATGACTGTCAATAGGCACATGTTGTTTCTGGATTCCAGTCACCAAACATACAGTACACACGTTTGCCTGAAAACTAACAAGCTGATCACAAGCTGAAACGTCTTTCTCCTTTATGGCTTGTTTATCTAATTTCTGTCAGAGATCTAATTACGCAATGGTGTGAAATGTTCATTTCGATGTTGCCACCATGTTAAAAACATCACAGTGCAGTTTTACAGTGCTTTCCATAGACATGAATACATTTTTAATATTACACTAAAGCTGCAAAAACAACAATATATTTTGTAGAATCACTGAATACTGTAGTGTTTACTGATTTATCTTTGAAAAAGCGGATTGTCCACATTTTTGTATGTGGATAGTGAAATATCCGCTGTGCAAAATGAAAATTCACACTGAAATGTATGCTGGTTTTGCCAAGTGGCACCACTATTTTGTACAACTTTACACGCTGGATTATTAGAGATGTGTCTCCTGCAGCAGAAGCAGCATAGTCTATGGATAAAACACTCAGTTTTACAGCTTAAACCTCTAATACTAAAAAAGTACAACTCATAGGTGCATGATGCAATCAGCACATTCTAAGAAAGTAAAACTTTTCACTTTTCATTCTACAGATTTCAATAAATGACTCCAAAAAAAAAACATACTAATTACTAACAGCTTTAGATTAAAAGAGCATAATCGATACATGTGCAAACGATCAGTTTCCAGCATATAAAAAACAGGCAGCCAACTCTTACAAGGCTTTTGAGATGATACTGTCAACTCCAGACCATAGTAGGCACTCTTAATGTATACTTTACATGAAATGCTTTAACACACATTCCCCAGTTTTTCTAAAAGTCCAAAGAGCAAATTAAATCTTAATAAAGAAAAAGAATTGCTTTGGCATTTGGCTGTTTTCTTGCTCTTAGAATTGTTTCAGCATTGTGAGGACACAGGAAAAAGCAACATAATTTCTGGCAAATTGAGTGTTTTTCTGAGTCAATCATGGAACAACTTGTCAAAAAAAAAAAAAAAAAAAGGAAAGAAAGAGACAGGTCTCTGAAAAGTGTTAACTTATAGAGATTAGGAAATATAATCCAGAAGGAAAGGGGAAGGGTTCTGTACCTGTAGATTGACATTACTCCGCATTACAGACACTGCTCTGATAACTGTAAACAATGTGAAAACTAACAAAAACCAAAAGATTTGACAGGTTTTGCAGAGAAGAACTGTGTGATGTAAAGTGAGGCAATTTTACACCCTGAGCAACAAGGAAAAAGTGTCATTAGTTAAGGCTGCTATTATTGATTTCTGACCACTAGAGGGCAGAAGATACCAAAACACACAGAATTCAAGTCCTGTTTGAATTTTCATCAAAATGCAACGCGTTTTCTTACAATAAGCTTATGCTAGAGAGGTCAACCGAACCAGAGTTTACAGCTACATATTTGTTGGTCTTTCAATTAAGTTTTAGAAAGCATGTGCTGTAATGAAAGACAAGGTTGGCTTCAGAAGTCAATCATAGCAGCTGTAAGGATTTACAATAGCAGTTTGTCTAAATTTCAACCACTGACATTTTTCTGCATTCATATTAATGAATGCATGAATTAATGAGCTGTCTTCTGCAAGGGGGTCAACTAAATTAAAAAAAAAAAAAATAAAAAAAAAATATATATATATATATATATATATATATATATATATATATATAAAGGAAAAGAATAGCTGTTTTTTTCACTCTATACCAAATTCAATAGTGTAATTATAAATTTTTTATATATATTATTTGAATATATTTAAAGTAAAAAAATACCACATTAAATTCTGATAAGTTTTAAGCTTTTTCTATATGTTTCTGATCCCATGTGGAGCTGTACTGGCACACTCTTTCTGTAGATGTCTGACGCTCGCTTTGCTCCGTTGTTTGGCTCCAATTTTCCTCCTCCTTACTTGTGTCCTCCTTTCAGGTTGCGTATGTAGTCTTTAATGATGTTTTCGATGTTGGGAACAGCATAATTTTGAGCTGCATACATCCCTGTACACGTGCCTATGGCAACGCCTAGCAGCGCTGAAGAGCGAAGTCTAGCAACAACGTACCCAGCAAGAAAACCCTTCAAGAAAGGAGAAGCCAGCAGACTGCCCCCCTAGAGAGAGGAAGAGAAATGAGACCCGGTCTGGTGTTTTGATATATACCTCGACCTATAATTTTATAACTTAACTCTCAACAAAATTCAAGGCAAAGTAAACTATGCTCTCTCTCCATATATACTAATACTACTAATAATAATAATATTTGATTTGTGAGCCTTACTGGAGGAACTCCAGCCTGTATCTCATCTTCTACCCGTTTCTGAATGTCCTCCAACTGGTCTTTTAACTCCACGAGATCCTTGAGTTGACCCAGTGGACTCTACAAAAACATGTAGGCACAGAGACAAGCAAACAGGTTAGTGGAGGCAACCAGAGTTTTCTAAAACATGGAGTGTATCTAAAAATAAAACATTTGAACTTCCTGTATTATGACCAAGCACAGCAAACGCTCTGACAATGAACTTGAAAATCCACTGAAAATATATGTTCTAAAATCATTTGGGCATATGATGGATTTTCTTTCAGAGACTCTGTTGTCTGAGTTTTAGTTTCAGTTTTGTTTTACCTTAACAGGTGACTGCAGATTATCCATTTCCAATAAGAGAAAGTACACCATATAAACTAAAAAGAAAACACATACTAAGATGGTTTTTGCTAATACTTGCAATCGTGAACAGGCAATTTCCACATTTGGAACTAAATATTAAATTGGTTTTATCTTATTACCCCTTATTAGTTAAGTTGCCTTTAGGCTTATATTTCCTCGTGTTTCCCCGAGCTCTGTGTAAAAACACACTGCATTCCACAAACCAGGTAAAACGGGTAACTTATACAACAGTGACCCTATGCCGATGGTAGTAAAATAAACAAAAAGCATAGAGAACATGTTGGAACAGATACTTGTCTCTTAAAACCATTCCCATATATCCGTTGCCCTAAGCAGGCATGACACCTTTTAGAGAACAGTAACATTATTTTCGACAGGTTACTAAGCTAACTGTTTTCTTTTAGCTTATTTAATAGTAGAAATATTTCATTTTAAGCGCTGTGGGTCGTGTTTTCGTTGTTTGCTAACTGACAGTCTCAAGGTGAACAGACCTTCCAAATCTAGTCCTTCCCGTCAACGTTATTTTAGCAGCTAGCAAAACGTTTACTGTTATGAAATTAACAGTCTCTTTATTTTCAGCTTATTGACAGTGCTATGGATTTGGTTGAATACACAACAAATGTGTTTGCTAATTTCATTCGGTTAAACGGAAAGTAAGCTAACGGTTTAGCTAGTTACCTCTAGGACGCTACACTTGTTTTACGTAGTGACACCCCAAGCTGAAGCTGACAGCTAATGCTGAGTGACAGCTCAAGTTAAAATGAACGCCTATCCACTATTCAAAGTTGGCTTAACATTAAAACTTGGAGACACACCTTGTCATTAGCCATCTTTCCAGTCCGTTGATGCACCTCTTCTTCTTGTTCTCGTAGATTTGCTTAAAAATGACGTCTACTGCCCTCCACTGGTGTATTCACAGACCACTCTTCTTCTTCTTCTTTCGGCTACTCCCTTTAGGAGGCAGAAGATCCTCCTTTCAGATCATCTGTTTCAATGATCTCACCCTATCAAACCAGCTTTCTCCTTTACTGCATCTATTAGTCTAACCTGTGGTTTTCATTTTTTTACTCCTGCCTGGCAGCTCCATATTCAGCTCCAATGCTCCTGGCTTTGGTTCCCATCCACCTGGTCTCCTGCAGGCACAACACATTCTCATTCCTTGTCTTCATCAGTCAGGCAGGTCTTTCTTTACCAGTGTCATGCCAAAAAGGGGATTGCTGATGTTTATTTGTGGGGTTTTTTTTTTATGTCTAATATATTTATTTATATTGATAAATAGGCTGTAGTCAACAGGATTTATGTCAAGGATATATATGATGTAAAGAAATGGCATGTTTTGCAATGACTCTACCTATTGTACTTAATGCTTTCACATTTTCCTCTATCACACCAAACCTGTTGCACATCACAATATCATAAATCTTCTCTGTGGTCTTCCTCTTTTCCTTCTGCCTGACACCTCCATATTCAACACCCTTTATTCAATATATCCACTATATCTCCTCTGCACATGTCCAACCCATCTCATTGTTTCCCCTCTAACTTGATCTCCAAAGCCCTCGACCTGAGCTGTCCCTCTGACAGAATTATTTCTAATCCTGTCCACTCTGGTCACTGCCAAAGAAAGTCTGAGCATCTATGACCGTGCCACCTCCAGCTCAACCTTCTGTTTTTTGTTAGTGCCACTGTCTCCAAAACATGCTACATAGCAGGTCCTACTACCATGTTGCAAATATTTCTTTTCACTCTTGCTGCTATCCTTTTCTCACCAATCACTCCTGACACTCCACCCACTTCACCCTGTCTGCACTCTCTTCTTCACCTCTCTTCTGCACTGCCCGTTTCTTTGGATAGTTGACCTCAGGTATTTAAACATGCAGAACAGTTTGTACCCACCTCAAATGCCCCTGTCCTTAGTCTGTCTTCCACATTATAGTGAATTCACTTAAATATCTTTATTGAATTGTTATGTTATATATATATTTTTTTATTTGTGCTGCCGTCTTGGGCAGATCTCTTTTGACAAAGAAGTTTTTAATTTCAATGAAACTTTTTTACCTGGATAAAAAAAAAGCATTTATAACAGTCACTTTGACAGAACATGACTGCAACTTCTACCTTTTGACAGGAATGTTATTTCTGGCTCAAGATGACTTGATATCACCCGTGAAAGATATGTTTGAGATTTCTTGGGCAGATCATAGGCTAATAAGTCAATTACAGCAGTTTAAATACTGGCAATCATTTTTTGGGCAAATACCAGAACCCACTTTCTTCAGAATTTGTGACAGCCTGATAAGTTTCATTAAGGTGAAATACGAATAAAGGAAGCAATTAATTACCCTGCTATTTCTGATCATGCAAAAAATAAATAAATAAATAATAATGATATGCTATGTTTGAACACTGTGATAATTGGGGAGACTTCAAAAACAATTTAACCAAAACATAACTCACATGGTCACAATGGGCTCATTACTTTAATTGTCCTCTTTCATCTCTCACTCTGAAACCTCTTTAATTCCAAGTTCCAGTTTGGCTTTTGCAATGCAGAGCAGTCCCCTCCCCACCACCACACACACATTATGATGCTGAAATACTAATATAATATACTGATATAATAATATAATAGAACAGATCCAAATTATGGGAAAAATGAAAGTGAAAAGAAAATGAACAAGAGTTCAGATAAATAATTAGCTAGGCAAAGGGATAGAGGATCAGAGAAACAGAAACAGAGATGCTCATTATCTCTCATTTGTAATCATCAGTGCATCCCACAGAAGCAGGGAATAAACATTGTAGGGATAGTGCAAGATAAGTATTTTCCCATAGATGTATAACATTGAAGTCTAAGTCATTACATCAAGTGAATCGGATTTAAACCCTTGTGTGATTTATTTTTTTCTTGCTGAGAGCATGACTCCCCACAAGTGTGTCTTTCCAGAGACTGTGGAAGTGAGAGTGAATGGCAGAGCCCCGAGTCACAGGAGGTGAGAAAGAGATTGAGAAAGATGGCAAGAGAAAGCATTTAAGACCTACTAGAGAACTTGAGTTATTCCCATCTGATGTAGAGGCAAAAGGAGACAAAAAGGGCGAAACTGCAAAATGAAACTATTCATTTAAAAAGATTAATCTTGCCAAAACATAAATTTCTACTTTTTAGACGCTACTGGCTGGCTCCTTTTTGTTTCTCCGAAGGGGCTTATAGGTATTTAATCCTCATGCTCAGGCAGGACAGAGAGTCCATTAACTTTTCCTTGTTTTGGGTTATTGCAGGACCAACCTGATATGGACCACAGTATTTAATGGTCAGTTCAAGCTGGACATAACACAGTCTGCATAGTTTTGCATGAGATGAAAGACTGGCCTCGCACTCCCCTGGACTGCAGGTGTTTAAGACTTGGAAGGAGCAATGGAGGTAAGGCGTCTGTGATCTTCAGTGCTGTTGATGGTTCAGGGGGCGTATTGATTTTGGCTGAGGCATGTTTGGCTGACTAATCTTTGGACGCCTCTGTACTGGAAAGGTCACGGAAGCTTAGGGTGCAATCATTACAGAGATGAGCTTCAGGGAAATGTGTATTCATATACTGTACCACGAATATCAGGGACAGATCGTAGATTTATGTTTGAGTTATCATTTTTAGTTTAGGTAGTCATTGTAATGTCATGAGATGCAGCTCGCCCAAAATAACCTTTGAAACAGTAATAAATTTGCCTATTTTCCAACTAGAAAAAAACAATAAATAATTTGGACTTTTATAGCTTTGTGACTAAAGCTTCATTTATTATTCAACAAGCCCAGCGGAACATTTTCTCTTGCATAATGAATGTGGTTTGTGTTAATACTCCAAACAGCAATAGCATGGGTTGTTTGAGCAGATGTAGTTATTATAATTTAAAGGATGGAGAAGTAAGCCCTGCATACACTGGCTTTGAGATGTCGAGGCAGTCATTTTTTTCCCGATGTGATTAAAGAACTCATTTAAAATGTATTTTATAGTCAAAGCACTGTATGTGTTACTGTCTGTTAGTTATTTTCTTCATTGGGAATAAAGCAGGAAAACCCCAAGAAATGTTTCAGAATCAGAATCAGAATCAGAATACTTTATTGATCCCTGGGGGAAATTATTTTTTGTTACAGTGCTCCATTTTAAACCAACATTAAGACAAGACAGACAATACGCTAACTAAGAATAGTACAATATATACATATATATACATACATACATACATAAGTCACTTATAAATAAATATTTGGAAAAGAAACATGTGTAGCTGTAGCAGCAAACAGTGTGTTAAGTGGATGCGTTGTACAGGGAGATGGCCACAGGCAGGAATGATTTCCTGTGTCGTTCAGTGGTGCTTTTCGGTAATCTCAGTCTCTCACTGAACGAGCTCCTGTGACTGACCAACATGTCATGGAGTGGGTGGGAGGTGTTATCCAACATTGTCTTTATCTTGGACAGCATCCGCCTCTCCGACACCACCTTGAGGGAGTCCAGCTCCATCCCCACAACATTGCTGGCCTTACGGATCAGTTTATTAAGTCTGTTGGCATCTGCGACCCTCAGCCTGCTCCCCCAGCATGCAACAGCATAGAGGATCGCACTGGCCACCACAGACTCATAGAAAATCCTCAGCATTTTCTGGCAGATGTTGAAGGACCTCAGTCACCTCAAAAAATAGAGACGACTCTGGCCCTTCCTGTAAAGTGCTGTGGTGTTTTTAGCCCAGTCCAGTTTATTGTCAATGTGTACTCCAAGGTATTTATAGTCCTCCACAATGTCAACACTGACCCCCTGGATTGAAACAGGGGTCAAGTGTTTCCTGGTCTTCCTGAAGTCCACGATCAGTTCCTTGGTCTTTGCCACGTTGAGCTGCAGATGATTCTGCTCACACCACGTGACAAAGGAGTCGACCACAGCCCGGTACTCTGTCTCATCATCCCTGCTGATGCATCCAACCACCGCAGAGTCATCAGAAAACTTCTGAAGATGGCAGGTCTCTGTGCAGTGGCTGAAGTCTGTGGTGTAGAGGGTGAAGAGGAAGGGGGAGAGGACAGTCCCCTGTGGTGCCCCTGTGTTGCTAATCACCTTGTCAGACACACACTGTGGGAGACGTACATATTGTGGTCTTCCTGTCAGGTAATCAACAATCCAGGACACCAGAGAAGCATCCACCTGCATCGCTGCTAACTTATCACCCAGGAGGGTCGGCCTGATGGTGTTGAAAGCACTGGAAAAGTCAAAAAACATGACCCTCACAGTGCTCGCCGGCTGGTCCAGATGGGTGTAGACACGATTGAGCAGGTAGATGATGGCGTCCTCTGTTCCGAGACGAGGCTGATAAGCGAACTGAAGGGGATCCAGATGTGGTCTTACTATGGGTCGCAGCTGGTCCAGGATGAGCCTTTCCAGGGTCTTCATGATGTGGGAGGTCAGTGCCACGGGCCTGTAATCCTGGGGGCCACTGGGACGAGGCGTCTTTGGTACAGGGACGAGGCATGATGTCTTCCACATCACCGGGACCCTCTGCAGACTCAGACTCAGCATAAACAGTTTATGAAAGACTCCACACAGCTGGGGGGGCACAGGCCTTGAGGACAAGGGGACTCACTCCGTCTGGTCCAGCAGACTTGCCTGAGTGAAGTCTCCTCATTTGCATCTCAACCTGGTATTGAGTGAAGGTGATGGGTGGGGGAGGGGTGTCAGGAATCTCACAGGAGGCAACATGTGAAGAGAGAGGCTGGCACAGTGGTGTGGCTCTGGATTCCAGGCTGACTGCAGGTGAGGTTGTGGGGGTGGGAGCAGACACTGTGGTGTCGAATCTATTGAAAAACAGATTCAACTCGTTTACTCCATGATTTACTGAAACTTAATGAAGCAAATGGTTTTCATAAGCAATCTTGAGTAA